GAAAAGTTAAACTACATATGTAACAACACTCTTTTGGTCTTCCGTTAGGTTTGCCTGATTTTTTGGATACTTTTTTAAAATTTAAACGTGAGTTTTTCAGTTTGATTCCATGAAAATTTCGGGACAAAAAATAAGCCACAGTATAATTTGTTGTAACTAATGATAAATTATACTTATATTAATCAAGTACAATGCATGTGGCATTTGGTTAGTTTGGAGATACATAAATGGAACCGACCGGCTTAGTTTTTGCTCAAGTCGGATATAGTTGGATTGACATGCCTATTGACCTCAAATTGATTGCTCTTATGAATAGGAGGAGTTGGGGGATTGATAGCAGGAGCGGCAACAGCGGCCGCGGCAGCAATGGGAGGTCACCACATGGCTCATGGACATGGTGGTGGTTACGGGCACCATCACGGTGGTAAGTACAAAAGAGGATTTTTTGGCGGAGGAAAGTACAAGCGAGGCAAGCATAGTATGTTCGGAGGAGGAAAGTATAAGCGTGGCAAGCATGGCATGTTTGGTGGCAAACGAGGGAAGCATGGCATGTTTGGTCGAAGAAAATGGAAATGATCTACCATTAATTCCTCGCAAAAGTTATATATCATCCTATATAACAACCTAATAAACATAACATATATGTGTAATGTGTATATTATTTGTGTTTGACATATGTATCTCTTATCAAAGAGTATTTGATTTGGTTTCCTTTCGTTTTTGTGAATAAACGTTGTAAGTTGAGTTGTTAAATGCGATATGCTTTATTTTTCATTGAGTTGCAAGTTTTGGTGTGTTTTTTTTAGTCAATCAAATTCATATGGAGATTTTTGTGGTTTTTTTTAAATGAATTGGAATGGATATTAATTATGATTAATATGGATATTCAGGATAAGAGGTTCTAATCCATAATGAAAGGAAACACAATTTACAAAATTATTTGAATTTTAAGAGAAGAGCGTACGTATCTAACAAGAAAACACAATTTTATGTTTTTGGTCAGAAAATAAAACTTATCTAAAATTAAATTAATAATG